GGTGGAAAATTATGTTCTTTATGATAATTCCTATGAGTAAGTGCGGGTTCTGGGTTTTGAGTTCACGCCTTTTTTTTTGTTGGCTCGCAAAACTCGGTGCTCAGTGCTTGTTTGAGTTTCCATTTGGCATCCAACTGCTGTCGGTTCAACTCCGATTTGTTGATTGACCAGGGACCGCAAATTGTGCGGTCTGGATAAATGAATATTTAGCCTGTTTACCTAAGCGGAAAACGATGGAAAACAAGTCGAAATTCCTAACTGCGAATGGATTTCGTCTAGTGAAGTCAATCATTGATTTTCCTTTCCTGTTGAAAAAAAATGGTAGACTCTTTCTAGAGTGATTAAATGATATATGTTTAATTGTTGAAAAACATCATCCACTAAAAAAAATCTCATATTAAACGTTTCAGCCTTAATTTTTTCTCGTATTGAATACTAAGTGTTTTATTAACCAAAACTAACTGAGTCATAAATAGCCGCAAGGTCTGGGTTAAGTAAACAAAGGATATGAATTAACATACAAAATAAAAGTGTGTATTAAATACATTCTGCATGTAACTGATAAAGGTTCGTTACAGTCGAGAAAAAACCATTAACTGATGTACTATATTTTCATTGTATTTTATACATTTATTTTGTGCCTTTAAATGATGCAAATGAATCCCATTTTTTTCTTCCTTCGCACAGCAACCAATATTCCCCAAAAAAGTGCAGAATATAAAAACTCAGAAGTTCCCAACGCCGCGGGTGCTGCGCTCATGTCTGCAGTTGTACGTATTTGTTTTTAATTAAAATAAATATTACCATAACCTATAAAATAATTGAAAAACAATTTAGCATTATTGCGAGCAGGTTGCCATGTTCGAGCCAGAGTTTTCCCCCTGGCTTTCGCAGGAGTTTCACATGATTCCTTGGTGTGTCTGCTGGTGTTTTCCGATTTCTGTTTAATGTTTATCAGTCGTTGAGGTTGCAACTTGCAACAGCCACCGGCTCTTGAAAAGGTGGGAGGTTGCAACGGACTCACACCAGATTTCCGCGCCTTTATTTACCCGCCCGGCCAAAGTGGAGAGTATACATTCGATCACTGATTTTTGCACTTCTTTAATACGCTTTCCTTCGTCCTTATGAATTCTTAAAGGCCCAACATTTCTTTTTAATGATTGTAATTTTACTTCATTACAATATTTCAAAGCGAGTTAAACGATGCAAGAGTCTTAATCATTGGAAAAAAGCTTATAACTTGCCAAAAGAATTCGTAATCATAATTCCCCCCATTCTATCATGATAATATGGTTAAACGAATTGCAACGTTTTTATTTCATATTTTTCTTTATAAAAAAAACTTTTTGTAGAATTAATAGGATATGCGATTTCACTGTTCATAAAAAGTTGCTATCCATTTACCACAGAAATGTTTCACCATCTGAACCAAAAAAAAAATATATAATTTTAAACGAAACAGCTATTTTGGAAATTCACAAGACGAAAATTATGAAACGTGTCAACAATTTTAACGAAAAGTTTGTGGTGGCTTTGAGTAATTATGTTTTTATAGAGCACTCATGAAATCGACTTTCCCATTGACCCAATTCTTTTTCTTCCCGTTTTTATTTTAATTTAAAATATTTTCGCAAAAGTTTCGAACGCACTCACCCACACTTCACACCCAAAACCGTTGGCCGCTGGAAAATTTCGTTTACTTTGTGGGACTTATATTTTGACATAATTATACACACACACTCGAGCACTTATATATGTTTTAAATTTTTATGCGTCGTTCTCACAATGTGCGAATAAAAAATAAAAAACTGAAAATGGAAATCTTCTTAAGCTACAACAACAATTATAATAATTATTTAATTAAAAATGCTGTCGCTTGAGTTGCTACTGCAGCGGAAGCTTTCCTCTTGATTTTTCCTTTTTTCGCGATTTTTGTTCAACAGAAATTGCATTTTCGAGTGCTGGCACTTGGGGAAAAATTAATCTATTTTAAGTGTGCAGAATATCAGAGGCAGTAACACCGAGATTGGAAACTGGAGGTAATGGCTTCGGCCATTCAGATGCAGAAAACTCTTATAATAAGGCTTAAAAAATCATATATTCTTTATGTTTTCTTCGTTCCCATTAAAGTTAATGTTTGATCACCTTTAAGGATTTTATTTTGTAACTGCTGTCATCTGATATAGATATCAGATCTTCTAGTTGTCGAGTTCCTTATCTTCACAAACATTATTGCAACCTTAAACCGTTTCCTTCTTTGTTAAGCATCCCTGCCTGGAAAAGATTTCCCAACATGACCTCATTTTCTGCCCCATATAGGGAAACAATCGGGGTAACAATTGCTCAAAACGCGGTAGCTTGTCAGATTGATTACTGCTCGATTGTTGGGAAAGTCTTGCACAATCCGAAGGGCGAATCGACTGCAATGATTGACCATAATGAGTTGAGTTTTTAGGTAGATCACGCCCGAGTTACACAGTCCTTACCTATCTGCAAATGGCATTCGTATGGACTGGGCATAAAAATTCGCATTAAACGGACAAAAACAGTTGCAATTGTACCCAGTGTTCTTTGGGCACCTTTGTACCACTCGATGCGGATGCCTGCTAATCTCTTATAACATTTCCATTAATACGCAGTTGGTAGTCTTGTCTTGTCCCTTCCTCGGGCCCGAATTCCCTCGGCCTGCCAATGCCAAATGATGAGAAATTAATGTGTGCAGGAGAACCAAGCCCCTGGGCTCACAGCATGTGACTAGCGTCACGGCCTTCTCCTCGGTCTTCGGTCCTCTCCTCGCAGCGGGACAATTGGGACCGGGTTATTGTTGGGAAATTTCACAGCACTCGGCATGGGTCCGCCGTGGTAGAGCTGCTGCCTCGGTTATGGCCATTGTAAGGTGTAACAAAAAACCCAAAAGATGCACACAAATTTTTGTCAAACGAAAACTGTCTTTGGGCACTTTATGAGTTTTCAAATGGGGGGAGGGGAAACCGACCGATCTGCGGCTGGGTGTCTTCACGCCCCGGGCTTAAGTTTCACGTGTTACCTGCCTCGGGTTTTATAGTCAAACATGACTAAATGGGGTGATAAGTGAAGCTGTAGCCGTCTAACTTTAGGCTAAGATTAGCCATTAATCCGAGTAGATCCCTTGAGCAGGTATTCCACTTCGCAAATAATTATTAATGGTTATTAGATTGGTGAAATTCCTCAAACAAATTTTATAATTGCTAAAAAAAATATACCGCCAAAGCTAACACTATGTAATTGTATCAGTTTCATTGTAATCCGGAAAAATAAAATTACCAACTTCTATAAAAGAAAGCCAGAAGAAAGAACCCAAGTGTTAAATCGAGCCTTTCTTTTCTGTTCACCCGCCCTCTTTTCTCCAAAACCAAAAATCAACGGTTTCGCCCCCAAGTTTGACCCCAGAAAGACATTCAAGACCACGTTAATTGAGCTTCGAGCCAAGACCAAAAGCCAGCGATAGATAACAACATCTGATAAATAGCGGGCCGAATCGAAAACGAAATCTCAATCTCTCTGAACTCTAAACCTGGTCGGGCTTTCGCTTTGGAACAATTGTGAAATGCTTTAATTTCTGAAGTACCTTTAATGAGCATTTTCAACATGGTCATCATACAATCAGCCAGATAGCCAGCCAGTCAGATAGTCAGCTAGCCAGAAAGCCAGTCAGCCAGCCAGAAAGCCAGCCAGATGGGCCACAATGGTCTTCAATATTTGGACCAAGCCGGCTTTCGGTTCGATAATTATTGCCTTTGGGTAGCTGGGGCTTCAGGTTCCGAGTCGTCAGTCGTCAGAATGAGCCGTGGTCCACGGTATCTGTAAATGTATCTCGGTGTTGGCATCCATATCTTTGCGGCAGTATCTTTGTATCTGGAGCCAAGTGTGTTGAGGCGAATTAATGATTACATTCGCTTTTGCCTCGACTTTGACTTCGACTTCGGACTTGATCCACTAACCCTTGCCAGCGGCCCCTTCGGTAGCTCTTTCACTCAACTGGGGGCCATGAAAGGAAATTGTAATGATCGAAATCAAAATGTTTTCGTTACTTTGCCTCCTAATGAAGCTTGAATAGTGCGAATGACTCGAAACTCTCTCTCTTCTGGTTCTCGAGTCGAGTACACGCGCCTTTTAATCGAAATTTGATGATGGATTCCCCGCCAGTCCAACTGCGATGTGGAAATCAGTCAGAGGTTGAGTATCTGGTCTTCATTTTTTTCCTTCTGCCGCTTTATTGTTGGCCATTTGGGGGCTTGGTTCTGGCCGCTATTTGCCTTTGTTATTTATTTATTGTTATTACCGTACATTGCTCGCTCCAAGTTCTGGAATGATTTCTATTTTCGTAATTGTCTAAATAGGTTTCGATTTGGCTTGAAATTGAGCAGGAAAAAAAGGTGGAGGAGGGAGGGAGAAGTGGGATTCGAAACACCGGGTGAGCGTGTTGGTAAAATCGAGGGTTCCCAGGGGGAAACTTCGACGGTGAGTTGGCAACTTTCTGGTCCGCCAGGCGACAGCTGCATCGCAGGTGACAATGAAGGGGTAGCTACATAGTACGTATAGTTGCACATGTGTTTTCCCTGCACATTCAATTGAAAATTATGTACGCCGAACCACTTCTCCACTTGCCACGCTCTGCTTGAGCCCGGTCTGCAAAAGTTTCCCGAGCTTGTTACTATTGAATAATAGTATATTAATTTTGCTGCCTCTTTTTTTTCCGCCGGCTTCCACGGCTTGCAGGGCCTCAACTTACTTTTAATTGAATTGAAAGTCAAAAGTTTTGAGCCCGTGGAAAAAAAAAAAAGTGAAAATGTTGAGACAAATTGACACAGAGGAAAAGTTGTGTCGGTGCAATGGAAAATGTTTAATTAAAGGCAAATTTCCACGGCAATGTAGCGAAATGTTAAGAACTGCGGGCTGAAAAGGAAAGCTGCTAAATTAAGAGCGGAATGAACACACAGTGGTAATTTTTGTTTTCAAATGAGTTTTTGTTTTCATTGCGTATATTTTTGTTCTCTGTTGATATTTTGTTTTCGCTTAAATTTGCATAAATTTCTTGTCTAACTAATACATAAATAGTTGTTTGCATTTGATTCGATTTTGCGTTTAACAATAAATTAAATAAGTTAAAATTAAGCTTACGATGACTCTCAGTGCTTTGTTGTCTTTAGTTTATCTAAACTCGTATATATCATTTACAATTCAGCTTAGGGACTACGATTAACTTATGCTCGGAGGGGGAGGAAAACAGTAGTGTGGCAAAGTGCTGATAGAATTGGAGATCCTTCAGTGTTCTATAGGTTCGAAAGAGTGCTCTAAAGTTGTGTATATGTACAAGGCAAGTATTTCTCTGACTTAATGCCTAGGTTTTCCGATTACAGCTACTACAATGTTTTCCTTATTTCTAACTATATGCTAGTTGTGTCTGGTTGAGGGAGGGAGTGGGCTTAGTGGGTATTTTGGGGGGTTTTGGCATCACAGTGTTGGGCAGCGGACTACTAAGCATAGATGCTCAGCTGCCTGCGTCGATAGGTCGAGGATCAGTGCGTGAACTGACGCAGGGTGTTGTTGTTCTGCTGCTGCTGCTGCTGTTGTTGCTGCTTCTGGGAGGCGGACTTCTGCTGGAAGGACCTGCGTCCTGTGGTGGCACACAGGCCATTCCGCAGGGGCAAAGCTGGAGGCATCGGCGGTGGCGTGGGCGTCTTGCTGCGACCGAGTTGCTCCAGCGGCATCGAGTAGTGCGTATTGCTGTAGATGTAGTTGTGATCCAACATCTCGCCAGCCATCTCCTGGTCGTACATCTCGCGCTGCTTGAAGTGCTCCTGGGTGAGACGCAGTTGCGGCTGGTTTGTGGCGCCCATTGGGGGGCCGTGCACCATGGGCACATCCGCGTACGAGTAGCAGGAATCACCCACTGCAGCCGTGGCCGACAGGAACTGCGGCTTAGTGTAGTGATTCAGCTGGGGATTCTGCTGATGGACATCCCGTCCCATGGTGGCCGACTTCATGTGCATCACAAACGAGGCACTGTCGTCGATGGCTCCCTGCGACACCAAACCCTTGTTGTTGTTCAACTTCTTTTCACTGACCATTGTTGCCGTGGGCACCGCCAACTGCTGGAACTTCTGCTGGGGATCCACGGCACCCAAATCATTCACCGGCATCGGGCACATTCCGTAGTGATGAGCTGCACCCGGGTGATGAGGGGCAGTGTAGGTGTTGGGGAACGTGGAGTGGATGCCCAGGGAGCAGGGATGATGCTGGTGGCGCGACATGTAGTCCTCATCGCAGAAGGTCTTCTGGTACTCACGCTCCTTGCGACCCAAAGCCGAGTTTCCCCACAGACCGCCCTTGATGGTCTCACGGATCTTATGACGGCAGCGGTACAAAACCAAAGCCAAGGCGGTAATTGTGGCAGCGGATCCAACCAGAAGGGCTCCAATGAGCGCCTGCTTGCGGGGATCGGCGTGGGTGCAGCCCATCAGAGCGGGATTGAGATGACGCAGGGACTCGCCACGCAGACGCTCGGGGAACTCGCACATCAGCTCGGAAACCTCCTCCTGACTGGCGTTCTTGGCCACCAGCAGATTGTGCAGCCACATCACTCGGCAATCACAAGAAAGGGGATTTTCCGAGAGATCCAAAGTCACCAGATCCTTCCACGGGAACATTCCCTCGGCCAGCGAGGTAAGAGCATTGGCCTTCAGCACCACATGCCTCAAATGGGGCAGACCACTCAATGCACCCTCTTGCACCTCCACAAGCATTTTGTTGGACGAAAGGTTCAGATACTCCAGATTGCCATTGGCGCCAAAGGCTCCAGTCATCACTCGCTTCAGTCTGAGGGCTCCATTCACCTCCAAGCGTTTCAGTTGCTTCAAACCGGTGAAGGCACCCTCGCTAATCACCTCGAAATCGTTCTGGCCCATTGACAGCTGCTCCAGGCGAACCAACTTGCTGAGTCCCACGGAGGGAATGCGGTCCAATCGGTTGTCGGAGAGATCCAGGATACGCAGCTCCTCCAGACCCAAAAAGCTGTCATGCGAGATGTTGCGCAGACTGGCGCCCTTCAGTTCCAGACGAGTGAGTCCTTTCAGATCCTGGAAGGCACCGGCTTGAATGGTCTGCAGGGTGTTCATGCCCAGGTAGAGCTCAGCCAAACTAGGCATGGCCTGGAAAATCACGGGATCCGGAACTGTGGTCAAGGCATTGTCATCCAGGTAGAGAATGCGCAGCTGGGTGAGTCCATCGAAGGCCTTGGGGTCCAAGTAGCCAATGCGATTCTCGCCCAAGTTCAACTCCTCAATCTTGAGAAGCGGGCTGAAAGTTCCCTGGTGCAACTCAGAAATTTGATTGCCACGCAGATTCAGAACAGTCACCGCCGACAAACCAATAAAGGTCTTATTGCTGATTTGGCCAATCTTATTGTGGTTCAAGTGCACCTCCTGCAACTTCTTTTGGTAGGCAAAAGTGCGCTGCGGGATGGTCATCAAATGATTCGAGGACAAGTCGAGGAAGGTCAGCTCCGCGTAGAACTGGATCGACGAGTCGATGGTCTTGATCTTGTTGCTCTTGATCACCAGTCGCTGGATGGAGGGATTCAGGGCGATGGGCAGCACGTCCAGCTGGCCCTCGCCGCACTGAACCACCAAGGTATTATCGTCGCACTGACAGCCGGGCGGGCAATTGGCCAAACCCGCCGCGGGCTCCACACCAATGCTGGCCAAAATGCACCAGATGCCCACGAACGCGATCATCATGTTTCGCTGCATCTTGGGGTCTGTGTTTTTCCTTTGTGTTCTCTGTCTTTCAGATTTTCGTCTCTGTGTTGCTTTTGCGTTTCGCTCGGGAGTTTTCGTTGGGATTTTCAGTTTTCCATAGTTCTGCGGGTAGACAAACGAGGAAAAGATTTTCAAACTTAGTTTCTGTCTTCTGGTTGAGTTCGGTTAATTAGCCTATTTTCGTGGAACCATTTCTATTGATTAAAATATTGGAGGGAAACTTTTATTTTATGTTTTCACTAGTATCTCATCTCAGCTAATATTTTATTTTTAGAATTTCCAAAAAAATGTATTTTAAATTCCTAATATTGTTGCCCTAACTCATTTACATTTTTAGAATTTTGGAACTCAATAATTTATGTAACTTAAATTTATTTCGTGACAGCAAGTTAAAAAAAACCAACAGAATGATTTCTATAAATATTCGTTTTTTTTACTAACTTCTTCTTGTTCAAACTTTTCAGAATCAAATATAAATCACACTTTTCTACTTTGTTAAATTTCACAATATTCCACTTTTGATTCTCCTTTAAACTTTGCACTTTTTGTGCCACAATTTCAACTTACCTATTGTGTTTCTTAGGAGATTGTTTGGCAACAATTTATGGTTTTCAGCAGATGAAATCGTTGATGAACAGAACTTAAAATGCAAAATGCAGTGTTTTGGTTTTGTTTGTGTGATGTGTTTGAGTTTTCACTGTTTCACTTTTAGATTGATTTTTTGGGTTGCCAATTTTATGTTTTGTCACATTTGCTCAACTAAAACATGTGTGTTTGTCAAAATAAAAATTTGTTGGTTGTGTTTGTTTGTTAGTTTTTTGCTGATTGTTTGAGAAACGTGCGCGATAATCCAATGGTTCGCTTTGGCTGCACGCTTCAAGTTGTTGTTATTCGGTTGACGGGTTTTTCGGTGTTAGGTTTACGTATTTCGTGTTACCAACTCTGGTAAGAGAGGAACTAAGTCGAAATTGGCTCTATATGGCAGGCAGACAACCGCTCACGACGAGGCAACGAACTACACTGATTTTACGAAGCGACTGCTGCACAAACGATACCTCGGCTGCCTCTATTTTACTTTGCCGGGGTGGTTGAGCGGCAAAACCGTGGAGCGGTAAGAGTGGCATGGAGCGGTACGTTTGGTGGTGGCAAGAAGGCAGCTGCATCGGCTTCACAAAAGAGCGTGGCTAATGCGAGACGGCCTTGCGAAGGCGAGTTCTCTCAGATAAACCCGTCAGCAGGTAGTCGAAACTGGTTTAGAGAGCCGCAGATACGAGCCAAATATATTTCTCTCTTTCGATGGAGAAACTCAGTACTCCGATTTTCACTCAAAATTTCCACTCATTTATCTGGCTATAGTGGTTCCATAAGTCTGTTTGCCACTCTGTGGCAATTGCAACCCATCCGCCGAACTGGCCGCACGTCCTCGACACGAAATGCTGCCGACCATTAAGACTAGCAGTGGTCCTAACGGTCGAAAACTAAAACAGCCCAAGTGCTGTGGCATAATTAAGACCCCATAAAGAAGTCCACTCCTCCGCAAAATAGGAGCAAGATGTATTTTTATGGGTCGCAGACATGTCCTGGCCTAAGTGGAGCATTTTAGTGTGGTTTACAGATTAAAAGTGACGCACTTGAAATTGATATTTGTGGATCTGCGCGATGCACCGCAGCCCAGCACACGAAAGTGTTGAACTCAAGTACTTCCCAAAAATATTGTGTCATCCGATACATCTGAGATGCATTTCTCATTCTTGGCATGCAGAGCAAACAACTATTTACAAGTCGGCGCACAAAAAAAAAAAAGAAACGGAGAAAAAAAAACAACATTGACAACAAGAAAATCAACTTTAAATGGCCATAACTTTGTGCCAACATATGTGGCCGGATTTGTGGAACGGGGGAGCGGGGTACATTTTCCGGGCCTTACGGCATGCGGTTTTCCTCCGCTTTCCCAACCCGCCACACCCCTCTGCTCCACTGACATAACTGGCATATTTCCGTCTCCGAGAATTTCGCACACAAAATTTATTTATCATAGAGAGATGCAAATCTTTTACGACTGCTTTTTTATCTCCCATGAACTAACCAATAAGTAAACTTGTTAAATTTATATATTACCCAAATTTGAGGCAACTTTGTGTATTGAAAGCAAGGCAACTGTTAATAGTTGCTTGGCCAATGCATTTTATGAATTTGATTTGTTGCCTTTGCGGCATATAAATATTAATAATTTATGGTAGAAGAAGTGAAGAGAAATTGCATTGGGAGTAGAGCGAAATAAGACTTTAAGACTAAACCACTACATTTAATTTGTTGAAGATTTTTGTTCATGGCAAAAAAAAAGCTTGTTAATGAAGAAGTTTCTCTGTAAATAAGAAATATTTTAATTACTATGTTTGAAAATAAAAAAATATTTTAATTACTATGTTTCTAACTAGAAAGCACCCCACTTCCACATTTTTACATCAATATACCAGCTTCGAAAAGAAATAAAAAATTTAATATTGTGGAAGAGTGTAAAAACTATAATCTTGAGAGGCTTTAAGGATACCTCAATGTATTTTTTTATTGAGTTGAAAGGAAAGGCTTAGCCGCAGAGCAATAACAAATTTAAATTTCCCCACTCGAATTGTAAGCAAAACCCATTAAATCGGCTTGTAGATCGTTAGATCACAAACTGCCAAACTGCTCTGCATAGAAAAACCTGCGTAATTTCCTCTGCAAAACCAGATCCAAAACACAGTGATTGTGTTGCACATGCAGCCAACGGAAGTTTGAGTTTTTATTTTTTATGTGTGCCACAAGCTGGGCGTCGGTCGGTGCAGGTGCCACAAGCTTTTTCTCCAACTCTCACGTTACACATCGGAAAGCCTCAATCTGCCCTCTCAATTTGCGACAATGTGTGAGAATTTCCCAGCAATAAAACCCAAATCCAACAACTTAAAATAAAGGCGAGGTACACACATATCTATATGCTTTATGGTAACTGGAAAGGTTTGTTTGCAGAGCGGAGTGCGGAATGAGTGGGCCCAAGCTGCATATGAAAATTGTTTGGCCAAACGCTAAAAGCACTTAAACAATTAGATGAAGAAACTCTGTTGGTGGTGGGGGCAGCTTCGTGTGTAATTAGGTAAAACAGCATTTGGAGAAGGGCCCTCGACTACTGTAGTACTAACAGTACTAGAAAATAAATGCAAACAATATTAGGAATTTTTAAATTTCGGGTAAAATGTTTCAGATTTCCGGTAAAAGCAATCGATTTGAATTGGTGGTTATTTTGGGAATTAACTCTAATTCCAAATTGATTAAAAACCAATTGATTAAATCAAAAATATTTATAATAAATGTTGTAGAACATAGTCCTAAATTCTTTTAAATTTTTAATAAAATAATCGCGGGTTCCCAAACAAAATGTATTTATTTAAAGAAATCCTAAGAAGCTTAATTCAAGGTTAAAGTTATTTATATAAATGTGAGCAATGACAAAGGGTAAAATTTTTAACTACGTGATACACATATTATCTGCTGGTTACTTTTTTTTTGAGTAAGCCTAGTTTTGCTTAAATACATATTCCACGGAATAATGTCAGACATGAGGAAACTCTCCTCCAATCCGAACAGTAAACGAAACGCTCTTTGACCAAACAAAGAATCCAAACTCGGGGGAAAAGTGACTTATAGGAACGGACAGCTGACCGAGTCCCAGTCATATATATATATATACGTATATCCGAATGTGTATATGGCACCAAGGTTCAATATGGGCGCGCATGCGCCGCTTCCCCATCAACCGTTGTTGTTTTATTGGCCCGGCGTTGTTTTAACAAGAAACTTGTTAGTTGCAGCGGGTTAAAGATTTTCGAGTCTTGTACTTGGCCCTGTTTGTTTGCCCGTCGCGACGTCGGCTACTCGTTTCATGTGTTGTTAAATCTCTTCCCTGTTTTTCCTCTTTTTTTACCAGCTGCCCTTCCAATTGATGTTTGCCCGCCTCATAAGCGACGGCACAACCCATTTGTTAGCATTTGAGGCAAACATTTTAACAAGACCTGGCAACGGATTCGATTAGAGGGGGATGGAGTACCTTAAGCCGCTGACAGTTCCGGTGCAAATGCAACTTCCGCAGAGACTTAAGATGGAGGAAACTTCCTAGACCAATAAAATATCAATTGACTCGGCAATTAATCATATTCCGAAATGTGCAAAGAATAGTTTTGGTATTGGTAATGGAACTGGAACCGGAAAGACCGGGCCATTGTTCAGGAGCCCTCCATTCAACCAGCTTCACACTTTTTTTTCGTCCTCGGCCACTGGTTTTTAGAGGAATCACAATAAATAATGAATCCAGAAATGAGCGTTAAATGCAATGAGAACGAGAATGATGAGAAGAAAAGCAGCAGCGGAAGTGAGCACACAATGGACCAGAAGGCCGAAGACGAAAGACCGAAGATTGCGGACTAAAGACCCGGGCCCAGTGGGCACAAAAGGCACAATGCCTTCCTTGTGCCCCAGCCACCGCCCAAAGGTTAACTTTAAATCGAATGGCAATGGCACAGTAAGTAAATACCTCAGCCCCTCGCCGTCTCACTCCCCGTTTGTGTGAATGCTTTGCTGACTTGTGATTTTTCCCCTGCGATATACCAAAGTGTTGCTGAGAAGTATCTCGCAGCTTTACTCTGCCGCACATCGCCGCTAATGCATCTGCAGTCTGGGAAAGCTTCGAGAAATCGTCAAGTGGGCTGTGAGATCTGAGAAACTGCCGATTGCAGTCTACCCATAACCTTATCAAAAGTAAACAGTTGGGAAGTTCTGAAAGAAAGTTGAGAGGTCTCAGCATTAATAACGCGATTTCTACTGATGCGGTTAGAGAAGAAAACAAAAGTACAAGGAAGAAAGTACCACAAACTTAGGCTTAGAGTTCTACAAAAAAGAGGTTAAAGATAATCAACATTAAAAATCTTATAAAAGAAGATACTATTCCCTCAGAACATTTTTTGAAATATTTTATAATTTGTATAAAATTTGAAATTGCCTCACAAAATAAACCCAAACTAACCACTTGGAAATTTTGTCACTTTTAATCTCCTATCAACAACTGAAGATATAAAAATACTTCTCAGCTCAAAGGATGTCCTCTTAACTCTTAACTCTAAATCAAGTAATCCGAGAAACGCCCAAAGATCTTTTCAGATACTAAGAGATTTCCCAACGACTATTTTCGCAACTTCCCCTTAGTCGACCGGAAAATGCAAATCAATTGCTAGCCCCTCTATCTCCATCTCTTTCTCTCTCTGTTTCCTTTCTGATCCTGTCACATAAAGATCTGGCAAGGAATGCCCGTATCCGCTGCTAGATGCAGTTGGCCCCAGCTCATTTCATTTGGCTCGCATAATTTATGCAAAATTATCAATCGAGATTTGTTTAGACAAAATGCAAGGAGACGGGGGAAAACTAACAGAGAAGCAGAAAAATTAACGAACGTGTGCCGCAACAGGAAAAGCCACAAATTGTTTATGCAACAAGCCGGGCCAAAAATAGCCATTGGAGAAGCCACGGAGCCTCTGACGTCTTGTGGCAAATCTATGAGATACGCATATCGCATTCGACTTATCTAGCAGCAGCAACCTGATATGGCTGCCATCTCGCCATCCAGTGGACACTGGCCAAAAGGCAGGAGACAGAGGACACAAGTCCGGGGATAGTGGATGGTGGCTGGTGGTCAGGGTCTAGAGTCCAGGGAGTGGATCGCTGCCCCATGCGTGATAAATGCCGCAGATAAATGCGTGTCGCAGTTGGGCACAGACAACCAGACAACGCGGAGACACATGTTCACATGCGCCTATTTTGCATGCCAGCCAAGGAGACACTGAAAGAAATTGGGAACAGAATTCATTTAAATTGAAAATATTTATATATTTATTTTTAGATATTTTATTTATTACACGAAGAAATTTCACAAAAATTAAGTGATTTTCTTAGATAATTATAATGATTGTTTATTCACAGAATATGCCTTATCAAAACTTATAATAT